GGGAACAGTTTTGTGGCCGTCTCGCACATAGCGCGTTGGTTTGAAAAATTGTTATATAAACAAAAAATGGTGGTTTGCAAAAGTTTTCGAGAAAACTTTACCCATTTTGGCCACTGTACCCATTTTTGGTCACTTAGCTCTACGTTTTGGATGTCATCGCATAAACAGATTCTCATGAAAAGTAAGCTTTTGTATGGAAAAAAAATCTAATTCTCAATCTTGTATAACAAAAACTTGCATCTAAAAAATATCTATACAAAATTTAGAGTACGTAAGGGCTCTTCTTTACACCTCAGTGCACAGAAGGATTCTCATGCAAATAAAGCTTTTATATGACATAGTTGAAGAATAAATATATATTTGGCAAGAAAATTAAATTTGCTAAGTTTGGATCGCTTTTGTTCGCGTTCTGAGCTGTGAGTTATATGGCATCCACAGAAGTATATCAAGGTATAATTGCACTGTTTAGAGTTTGTAGGAGTGAAACGTTTAATGATCGAATTTGTCCGGTTCTACTTGTTTTTTTAATTAAATAATTAAATTAAAGCTTTTTTAACTAATTAAATTGTAATTAAAAAGATTTTACAATTTAGTAATAAAATTTTTGACTAATAATATAACATACATGACAATGGTATGAATAAGGAAGAAATTGAAAATATCAGATAAAGAAAACAAGCGAAAACACTATAGTCGGCCCTGGCCACTTTTAAATGCCCTACCTGCACCACTGCACCACTGCACTGTTGTACATATTATGAACTTTCAAAATAAGCCGTTCTATAGGAGGTGGTTGAGAAAATGGTCCGAACTTAAGCACTTTTGATCGACTAGCGATCATCCTTGGACCAAAAGAAGTCCGTTTATCCAATTACGTCAAAGCATCTCAAAAATTGCCGCTAGTCGATTAAACAAAATAGAACAAGATTGCCGAAGGGACAGACAAGCTTTATCGATCATTTCTCATTTTCATTCAGAAAGTGACTTTGAGTCGGTTGGTACAAAATAAGGTGAATATATCTCAAGTCTTTCTCGATGTTCCATACCTTCGTAACGACATAATATACGCTTATATCACAAATGGTTTAGGGTATAAAAAATCCGAATTATGTGGATATAAAATAAAAAAAAAAAAGATTTAAAGCGAATTTCTATTAATGAATGATATCAGAACACCATGACTTTCATGATATTTCTAATTAGAATTAATCTAAAATAAATCGAGTGCCAACTGAAGGTGGAGTAATGGCGGTATAAATGTATGGGATAACAGATCTAACTGTTTATTTTGACTAAATTTATATTAATTAAAAAACAAGTCGGAATTTTGCATTTGGCTGTGGGCGAATCTTCTATACGTACCAATGCTATTCTAAAAAAAGCCTAGAAAACGAGGAGAACCAAAGTTTTCCTCCTTCATAATATTTTATAGGTGTATGTGGCCGAATTTTACATTTTCGTAGAATAAAAGTGAAAATTTAAAGGCGACATTTTACTTTTTTTGCGAACGACACAATGTTTACCACAGATACCAGACTGTGGGGAAGACGGACCGATGGACAGACGGATATGTTTAGTTGCATTTCGAATTTGACGCTTGTCAAGAGCGTATATACTATTTTATGGGAGTCTGGGGGAAAAAAAATGAATGGGAAGATCAAACTTGCCCATGTTTGTACAAGTACGACAGCAACACGTATAAAATTTAATTTGTGAGTAATCAGCGAAAAAAAAATCAACTGCTTCCTTTTGGAAACAGAGGTGTACACGATATTGTAGGAGCATTGTTCGGGCGATCTGGCGCAATTTCAACCTAAATTTCCAATGTGTTTGCCAAATTTGAAGGAGATACCGTCACTTTTGCGACCAGGAGTATATGTATCAAAGAGAATTATACGGACGGACAGACGGACTTGCTTAAACGGGTTCAGAATTTGGATTGATTGGTTGGATTGCTATGAATTTTTGCCCAATTTCGAAATTCTGTAAATGATCGGATGAAAGATTCTAGTAATTGCATTAATTTTATAGATATATAATTATCTTTGAAAGTATCAGAGAAGTACACATAACCATTACAGAATGTATGACGAAAGTATGACGAAAATGTTTCGACAAACAAACCTAGCATGATCTGATCCCGTATCTCCGCTTAGAGAGAGTCGGCCTTGAAGCATTAGCTTTGTTGTTTTGTTATGATTATATGCACACTTTCACGTTGACTGATGAATAAATACAGCAGATTCTCTGTTGCTGTTGTGTTGCTGCATTGCATATATATATATATATATATATATATGTGATTGTTTTATTCAATCTTTATTGAATTGAAATTTTTTTAAAATTTCATACTTTGACATTATACCGAGCGCTTATGTAAATATTTAAAGATTATAATTTATCTAATTTTAAATTAATGGACCATACATTATACTCGCATGACGTGCTGGCCATTAAACTTTTTATTGCGCTTGCAACCCATACGAATATGTTTCCCATTGGGTTTTTTTTCTTTGCATTAATTTCAATGGGTGGGTTTAATCTTTTTTTTCATAAATTTTTTTTTTTTTTTTTTTTTTTTTTTTTTTTTTTTTTTTTGTGTTTCCTAGCGATGATGCAATTGAGCATTGAATTTTGAATTGAAGTTTTTCTTTAAATATATACCTTCGATACCTTAATCAATAATCTCTCTGCTCAATTAACTTTTTTCATTTTGATTGTTGTGTAGGTTGTTATTGTTACTTTCGTTTTGGTATTCATCTAACGGCTATGTGAGATTTTCAGCTGCTGGTTGTTTTTTTTTTTTTTTATTTTTTTTTTATTTTAAAAGTCAGTCATTTATAATGGAAAAAAGTCAGGTATCGTCAACAATTAAAACAAAATATTTTCACATTATCTGAAGTGATAAAATTACAATATGACATGACATTGTCGCTTAACATCTTTAATATACAAGTTCTGTATTTAAGCAATGTATTTTGTTTAGTTGTATAAAACGTAAAAATTAATTCGCTCTCTCAAGTAAAAGTAAACAAAGGAAATTTCTTTTGAAATAAAATATTTATGCAGGTTTAAGTGAAAGTGAAACTGAAAAAAAATCTGATGTAATATTGCTTTAATATGAAATATGTTTTTATACTTTACGTCACTTGTACTAATACAGGGTATCTTACACGTCTGCGCTTGCGTCTGCATCCGCCTGAAGAATTTAAACGATAGACTCATTTTTTATCATACTATCTACCGGTTTGTCTGGTCGTCTGCCGATCGGTTTTTACAACTTAACTTAACTGATTTTGAAATCTCGAATTTTAAGAGTCATTAATTATGAGACATTGTTATATGCATGATTGATATAATGCTTCGATATTCGATTCGTTGTCTTTGTTTTCTATCGAAATTATACATTTTGAAATATTTCTCCTCAAACTTAAAGCCCGCCCGTAAAATACATAACACCGCACCGTCCAATTGATTATTTTTTTTTTGTTTATTCTCATGATAAAATACGAAAAATTATACCTTGTCTCCTCATAGGTGAATTTATATGTGAGCGCAGATCCGCATTAGAATTGTTACACTTTATTTTTCATGCAAATTCTACAATTACAAGGGGGGTAATGGGGTGGGGTAGGGGCTAAAGATAGATCTATATGATCCAAATTTGCTACACTAAACTTCTTATATCAAATTATTATTACGGACATATTTTCTTTAAAAAGGGTTAACAGTTCCAATTTTTGACAATTAAAAGGTATATGAATGCTTCATACGAAAAATCGATGAACTTCTCATTTTCAATTCTGTTAAATTTAAAGTTTAAGTTTACAGTTGAGTGACTCCCAACTGCATATATTTAAAATATATTTCGCGAATAAGAAGTGCTAACTACATTCGATGACTCACTTAATAATAATTTGTTTCAGATTTATTCAGTTAATTCAAACTTTAATGCAAAAGTGTATTAATCATTTTCTCTCGCTGTCGTTAAGAAGGGCACGGTATAAGAATATATAACCAACAAACAATTTTATCAATTTTCTTTTTTTTTCGTTTTATGCAGTTAATAATCGGTTTAGCAAATAGCCGGCCTCACTTTATATTCGTATACGCAAGGGCTTTCTTTCAGTAGGAACCCGAAACAGTAATGTTTAGAGTTTTTTGTCGTCAGATATTTTGAAGATTGTCATTTGTTTTTATATAATTAATAACTTTTCAAAAATAAGACGTTGTATAAGGATTGATTATAAAAATGGTTCGATATCATCCAATTTCAGTAGTGTTCATTTTGTGGATCAAAACATATGAGTGTAAAAAATTGCGAACTGTCTTTTCAACACAAAACGCATTGGATAGTCATTAAACAGAAGGACGGACAGACAGAAAATGATTCTGAATCGATCGGTATAATAACGTTTCAACGTATCTGACGATTTCCGCGGTGTGCATAAATCCCCATAGATCGAATATACTCTGAATAGCAGTTGATGTAGAAGATAATGACACAATAGCTTTATTACCATAATATGAACTACGGTAAAAATTGTCACAACACAATAATTACCAGTCGCATAATATCACAAAAAATGTTTGTTTCAAATACAGAAACCAAACGTCATCATTATCATCATCATCGTCAATGAAAACTAAATCTTTCCCATCGTCATTATCATAGAACGAGTCAACTTCATCGTCATCAATTGAAGAGCACTTAAAAGTTTACAGTTCGTTGTTGTCAACACCGTTTACTTTTTTGTACTAAAAAAAAAAAAAAAAAAAAAAAAAAAAAAATAAAAAACAAAAACAAAAATAACAAAAAAAAAAAAAAACCACATCGAAAACAAATTCAGCAACCAGAACGACTACAACGGCGTTCCAATTAAGTTCGAAACGTTTCGTTGACATGTCTCATCGCGTTTCTTCTATATGTACATATAAATATAAATATATGCCATATTGAACTTAGTTAGCAGCAGCAATTATTACTGTTACGTCCGTAGAGGCGAAATCAACACGCTCTAGGTTCTTTATTAATATTTGTGGCAGTAGCAGCAATAACGAGACCAAAGAGAACAAGTGTAATAATAAATAGTAAAGTTAATTATAATTATTTAAAGGCAAGAACAAGACGAAAAGGTAACACTGGTAGTCGCAAAATAAATGCAAACAAGTCTGCAACACCCTCACCCACGTCACCTTTAACACAATCATCTGCATCATCTCTACAAACATCGACGTTTAAATTGGTTTCATCTTCAACGCCGGCCGCACTTGCATCTATATACTCAATTGTTACGCCATCCAACGTGGTGGTCTTCTCTGTAGCCGTTGCCTCTTCATCCATCGCCTCTATAACCACCTCAATGTCACCTACTTCTCAGACACCGCCGTCATCACGCACATCTCTCTTTGATTCCTGCCACCGTAAGATACGTTTAATTGGCGGCGGGCCCGTTGCTTTCTTGGGCGGCTTAGTTGCGTAAGTTCTTCTTTTCTTTTCTTTTATTTATTTATTTTGTTTTTTTTTGGCTTTTTTATAATTTTCTCTTTTATTTATTCATTTTTTTTTTTACTTCGCATTGTCGATGCGAAGCGATATATCGCTTTCTCGTATGCGTTAGTGTGTCACGGTGAATTATTTATTAGATGACTTCACCAAATATGCATTTTTTTGTTTTTATTTTTATTTTTTTTTATTAAATAAGCGCTAACTGTATTCCGTTTCGTTTATCCGCCGCTTTTCTTTCTATCATTGTTTCGTTTTCAATAAAGGGGACAATGCTACACTTCAATGGTTTTTATTATCAACTCTTTTTAAACCGGTTTCTTACGTCCGTCCATACACAATTCTAATTCTAAATTTAAAATATTTTATATGTATTTCTTTAATTAGATATAATTAAAAAATAAATCGTCTGTATACGAGTTATATGAATTTGAAGGCTGCCGGATAACTTAGATCATATGCTCGCCTGTATTGAAAACTCCACAGCACTTGAGATTTGAATCCGCGACCGTTGAGTTGTTAGTCGCGAACCTTTACCTGCACGGCTGCGCATGCGGCTAAATCAAATATTATGCATACAGAGGTTTACGTTGCCTTATGTCGATAGGGAGTATTCCTTTCCATTTTCCTCCTTTTATATACATATATATATATATATGTTTCTCGTTTATTTATAATGTAGCAACGTTTTCGTATTTAAAAATGGCTTTAGAGTTATGGGAAGTGTAGGTAAAAACTTGAATGAAGTTCAGTTCAAAAATATCGCATAGTGGATAGTAAAGTAGGTGTATATACAAAAACATAATTATATATAAAAGTGACCACCAGAAGTAATTAATTATCGTGGGTCTCTCTCTCTCTCTCTCTCTCTCTCTCTCTCTTCCTTTCTCTGCTACCGGTATATTATACTACACTTTTTGGATATTTTCCCACAATTGGTTGTTCTTTTTTATTGCCACAGGAAGCATGATGCTTTAGTCCTCTTCAGATATTCTATGTAACAAGGTGAGGCCGGGGAGTGGCTTGCCCGTTCAGTGACATCCACAGCCATGCTATCAGTACACTGAATAAATGCTTCGCAGCATTGTCATGCTGAAGTGTTCACAGCGGTGACTTATTTTCTTTCGCATGTGGCAAAGTAGTTAGTCCCATATCAGTAGATTTCTTCGGCCATGCTTTACTCCTTTTTTAGTAAATCTAAAGTGGAATTTTTCTTCTTGTCCTCCCATCATTCCCAACCAAATTTATTTTTGGTTCGTCACTGCAAAGTATATTTCTTCATTTGTTATTTTTTTCGACTTCCAGAAGTGCACCAATTTTTATGGGTTAAAGCAAACACTTCCCCAACTTAACTGTTCTAAGCAAAGGAACTTTGCAAGCTGTTCTTTTTGGTAGACTGGCAACTCGCAATCGTCAAGGACACGTTTGGAACGATTCCCATTTACATTGAAAAGTACTCTGGGCAACTTGAGTAATTTCGGATTGCTAAAATTATCGTGTATCCGACAATAGCCTCGATTGTCTTATAAAATGCGGTCATTATTCGCGATAAAATTTTAGTTCCAATTTATTCCTAATTGATTTCCTATTTATTCTAAAACACATTTGCATTTTTTTGAATAAATTGGGAATAACTTGGAATTGAAATTTTATTGTTAGTAGTGAGCGCATTAGAAAATCGATCGGGACCATTTTTATATCAAATTTGAATGTGGACTTGATGACAAGCACTTGAGTAGAAAGTTTTTCGAAATATCTTGAGAGAATCGAAAGTTATAGACGAAAACATCAAAAAATTATTGTTTCTTTGCGAGGTTGTTTTACTTTCTCAATTATGGTGGGCGTGTGTGTAGGCGGCCGACAATGATTTTTTTAACATTAAGTTCTTAATCGTACGAGGGATGTTTGTGCGAAATTTCAGCTTCATACCTTCACTTGGCAGAAACAGATACGTACAAAACTTTCGTAGTTCTAGTGTTAAAGGTTTCTTCTATTGCTCTCAGTTACAATTTGAATTTGAAGAATTTCAGTCAGTATTTTCGGCATTCTCGTTGAGTGTAGAGTATTAAAAGCCGAAAACAGTTGTAACTACTTTCTAAGAAAATGTTTTCACAAAAGGAGACTGCATAAGAATTCGTTTTGCTCTGTTTAGTTTATACCCACGTCTATACATATCTTTATACCCATATCTATATATGTACTTATATACATGTATATATTTTTGATTATCAAGAGATTATGAGTGAATTCATCTAAACTATCTGCCAATAATTTCTTTATAAAAAGATATCGACATTATTTTTAGAAAGTGGTCAACTGTTAAACGACGTAAAGCGCTCGTCTCGTTTGTGACTTACATTAGTTTTAGTGGCGTTATTTTCGTTATTGTCAAAATTTCGTTAATTATTCATAAAAAAATGCTTTGGAAATTGTTATGTGCAACTCTTCCTAGTAAAAAACAAAAATTGTTCAATGACTTACTGATATTAAATGATGTCACGAGGACGGTCAACGGGATGAACGCCCAAAAATGGCGTTTACGTCAGAAAACATCAAAAAAAAAAAAAAAAATGCTGAAATTTGTGGCCGCGAATCGAGATCACTCTTGGCACGAAGAAGTGTGTTTCCGCGTTTGCTTACAATCAATCAACTAATTGTCTCGTGTCACAAGTTGATGGCGGCTGCAATGCTAAAACTGCATGATTTGAAGTTCGAATTGTTGTCCGATCCGCCGCATTCGTTACTTCGCAGTTATCCCCCACCATCTGTTCTCTGTTTACAAATCGCAAAAGGATGCTTCAACAAAAAAAAAAGATTTGAATCAAACTTTGTAGCGGTTTGATAAAGCGTTCTTTAAAAAAGCCATCGAAATGTCAGCTAACTGGTTGTATCGTATCATCCTTTAAAAAGACTATATAGATTGCTTATAACAAATTTTGAAAAAAAAAAAAAAAAAAAAAATCATTTCCTTGCTATCAAAAATTGACGTTGAGTACTCACACATATAACCCTTGGTCAAATCCATAGATGAAGTTGAAATATTGCCGTACGGTACAACCAACACCTCAGTAGATTTAAAAAGATAAAAAATTAGACAATTCCAAATATCACTATTAATATACGTATGTGGCAAGCTAATGCTCGCTTACGTGTATCATGTGAAGTGTATATATCATTCAGAAGTGCATATAGCAGAAAATACATACGAATCGAATCAGCTAAGAAATTCTGGGTTGCTGGCTTTGCTCCTGGTGGTTTGTCCAAAGCACAGGAAACTTTACTTTTTTCATTTTGAGAAAATAACATATTAAAGTATCCTTCCAAACTGCAAGGTACCGTCCTCTAAAATCAATTTTACATATATATATATAGGATCATCACGAACTCGAGCTAAGAGCTATGAGATAGGGGGACAATTCTCTTTTCTTTCGTCATAGATAAATCGAATTCGAGTAAATACGAGCGTTTCCAAGCGGTTAAAAAAAAAAAGCAAGGAGAAACCCATGGCTATTAGTTGAAGTGCGAAAAAATTTTTATATTAATTTCTGGAAAAAAGATAAAGAAAAAAAAAATACTGCAGATGTATAAATAGCGCATGACAATGCCAGCAACAAATATCTGCACCTTCTCAGCTGTAATGGTGACCTTGTTACAAAATGTTTTCTGACACAGAAGAGAATGGTTACAAAAAAAAAAAATAAGAACAGTAAACGTATATACGCGTGTGCATATGTGAGCATTTCATGTCCACGACAGGAGTATGTTAGATTTGTCAAATGTTTGTGGGCCGTGGAACTATGTAACAAAGAAAATTGATTCAATACGAAATATATATGTTTTCAATGAGCAGAGTTGAAATGAATCTTTTTGTCTGTCTGTAAAGTTTGTCGCTACCTCTATGCATTCGGGTACCTACCAGAATCATTGCTAACTAATTCAAATTTGATTGAATGCGAAAATCCGCTAACTAGGTCCAAAGATTAGAAAGTGGATATGATTTTCATGGCTTCGAAATTTCAAATCTTTTAGTTTAGAGTCTTATACTGATGGGTTTTAAAGTTTCACGCAAAAAAAAAATTCTCCCTTAGAGTTCAAATGGGCTAAAACGCACCAAGGAGAGTTAGCTAAGATTATTAAAAACTATACATCATCATACAAATATGATTAAAAGGATTTACGACGTCTAAGGCAAATGTGTGTGTAGTAAATGATCATCTCCTTATCTTCCAGACGAACGTCAAGCTATGCCAAGTAATGGGCTTAGGTTAGGGTATTTACAATATTCGACCAAAGTCGATTATAATTTCTTATGTATTTGCTATTATATTGAACTTGTTGTACTCAAAAGGATGAAATTCAATTGGAGAAGGAAACAAGTTGCGGTTTTTTCATAGTGTGCATGTTATGCATCTTTTCATTTTTATTACACCATATAAAGTGTTAGTAAAGTTAGACATGTTTATAGCACTAGAGGGTAGAACAAGGCAATATTGTTATTATAAATGCGCGTTTGCGCATGTCGCGGTAAGCGACAGCACAGCTGGCAAAAAAACAAAAAAAAAAAAACACAAAAAATATCCGTTCTACAAAAACTTTTCTCCAAATATATTTATGGCAACTAATATTAATTTATTTGTCATTGTGTCGTTCTCTGATGCAATCACTAAAGCTCATGAGAGCAAGAAAAAAATGAAAAATTCATTTAAGCGAGAGAGAGAGAGAGAGAAAAACCGAATGTAGTTAAAATCAAATGACCACAAAATAATGCGCGCACATAGCGTGTGAATGTTATTACAACACACAATATCTTTTATGTGCATTTATGTGTGTGGATATGACAATTATGTTTTTTTCATTACGCACTATCAAAAACATAAATACTGTAAGACGATGCATTTTTATCATCGACTTCGCATACAAATACGGGCATGTATCAATTCATTTCAAAACAGGTGAAAACACTGTAGTTTATC